AGTGGTTCAAACTCACCAGCCACTCCTTGGGAACACTATACAAGGTCACTATGAGTCGGAACTGATTCAATGGCACTAAACAACAACAATTTTTCCCCTTGTAATAAGGTTAGATTTTTCCCCTGCCCCACCTGAATCTTGAAGCTCAGTTGTTCTGAGAGAACCACTTGCTCTGAGAAAAAGATGAGGCTTTATGCTCTGTCAAAGATTTGCAGCTTAGGAAACCCTATACTGGGTAGCTATGAATCAAAACAGACTAGACAGCACTTATCAACAACTATCACCTGAATCGGACTCAACAGCACTTAACAACAACAACCTGAATCTTTAGTAGCTTTCTGTGGCAACTAATGTCTATTTTACAGGTGGTTGGTCAGGGTTCGAGAGAAGACGCTCACAGGAAATTTCTTTCTAGGAAAAGCTAATGAGCACATTTTGGATTAAATCCATGCCTTATGTATCATTAATTTTGTTGCTGTTAAGTGCCAGTATGGGATTTCCAAGGAGCAGCTGGTGGGTTTGAACCATCGATCTTGCAGTTAACAGTCCAGTGCTTATCCTACAGCTCCATACCAGGACCCCATATCATTAGCTCTAAATAAAATAGATGGGATACAGCTTATTTTAGCACTGTTTTGATCACCACCACATTTTTTCTTTGCTAAAATAGACTTTAAACACCAGCTTATATATCAGATAAAATCAATGATATATATAACAAATGGAATATTTTTAGAATTTCACCAACAGCCCATTCGGAGATCCATATTGGAAGTAACATAAATGAGTAGGGACCGATAAAGGAAAGTGAATGATAAGAAATCCAGAAAATGTCATTAAGTTATACTTTGCATTTTGCAAGCATCCCCACTTTAATTCTCAGAATGTTGGAGGAAGTACATTTATTTCAGACTTCTTTGAAAAGTCTTTGAAAAGCTAAAACAGTGTATTCCTCTTTTTTAAGAAAAAGGAAGGTACAACATTAATATTTGCTTTCGTTAGCCTTTATGTTTTACTTTCGATTTTAAATGTTCAGAGTGTTAAAGAGAAAGACAAGTAAAATTTAGGAACATAAGCTGTTGTTGTTGTTAAGTGCCTTCAAGTCGGTTTTTGACTCATAGCGACCCTTCATAAGTTTCTGAAGGCCAGCTGGTGGGCTTCAACTGCCAACCTTGTGATTCCTAGTCTAGTGCTTATCCTATAGTGCCACACAAGGAGTCCAGGGACAAAAGCTAGCACAGAGTAACTTAAATGAGAAACTTTTCAGTTTATTTTTAAAGAGCTTCTGTTCTGAATAGTCTGTAGTTTGGCATCCTTTTGTTTCCTTCAGACTTGTGCAGTCACATAGTTAATGATCCAAAATGTAGAATTATTGTGTTAATGACCACGGATCCTTTAAGAAACTTTTAAATCATTTGTAAGTATCAAGTTCAATCTTCTACACATGGACTTCATTAGTTACCTATCTGTGACACTTTTTAGACTTAAAAAAAAATTTTTTTTTAAGGACACCTCTGCACTGGAAACCATTCTGTTGCTGGTTCTGTATGCCATGCTTCCTAAAGAAGGCATCCCAAGTCAGCGTATCATTCTAGGCTCTGCCCTTCAGACTGCATCAGTTAGATGTAGTCATAGGACACCACTTCCCTGAAGTAATGTGGAAAAGAGTTGATTCTAGAAATCCATATAAAAAAGATAATGTGCTTCATTATCTTGATAATTATGCCCAGGAAACCAAAGTCTTTACAGTCATTGAACATTGATTCTCTATAATAGTCCCATAAGCTAAGAATGCATTAAGTTAACAATGTTCTCTTATACACAGAAAATGGAGTGTCTTACTTATTTGACCAAGTCTTAAAGTGCTATAAAAAATTTCAGCAAATGTGAGTTGCTTGGATATGCTTGCTAACTGGAATAAGGGAAAGTTATACATCCCAAGCACATCTCATCTATCAGTTTGTGGTGCTGTGGTGGCCTGTGTTTTGCTGTGATGCTGGAAGTCTTGACACTACTATTTTAAATACCATCAGGATCACCATGGTGAACAGACTTCAGTGGAGCTTTCAAACTAAGATAGGCTCAGAAGAAGGAGAGGTAGACCACTTCTGAATAATGAACCACTGAAAACCTTATAACTATCAGCTGAATATTGTCTGATATGGTGCCATAAGATGAGCCCCACAGGTTGGAAAGCATGCAAATATGACTGGGGAAAAACTACCTCATCAAAATAGAGTTGATCTTAATGACATGGATGGAGTTAATCTTTCAGGACCTTTATTTGCTGATAGGGCACAATTCAAAATGAGAAGAAACAGTTACAAATATTCATTACTAACCAGAAGGTGGAATATACAAACTGTGAATCTGGGGAAATTGGAAGACGTCAAAAATAAAACACAGTTAGTGACTGAGAAGGTCAAGTACAGGCCA